TCGCCGCATCTCAGCGAACTGCTGCGTCTGCCATGAGAGCTATCCAGAGGATGTTAATTGTTTTGGTATTCGTGCGTGAGGTGAATGGTGTACAAGAGTGATAAAGATAGAATGACAGACAGGTGCGGGTAGTGACAATGGGACTGATGCTAGTCAAGAGGAGAACGGCTAGTGTTCTCAACCAAAGCATTTGGTTCTGACAAGAACCCGACCGCGAGCCAGCGGTTAAGGCAGAGTAAAAGCCCGTCTACTCCATTATTCTTACCTAACGAGAAGCCAACACGAGTCGAACCTCCAACCTGGTGGATCAAGAAACTGGAGTTTCTGTAACCTTTACCATTTGACCCTCCAGGCTTGATTAGATTTTCGGCTTAGCGCAGATCATTCTGCGTAGCTTCTTGAGTTACGGAGGTGCTTTGGCCGTCACATTGCATCAAGGTGCATTTGAAACTAGTAGTCCTCTTACCTTCCCTCTGCATGGGCAAATCTGGACATCCGCACATATTGAGCCAACCCGTAAAGAGTGGGACCTAGATGTTATGGTAAAAGCTCATTTCAAAGCCTAGAAGCAGCCCAGAGAGCCATTTACCAACTGGACGCGGACGTGTGAGCAATACAAATATCTACCAACAAAAGCGTGGAATCCACTCAAGAAATTCTGTTCTATTGTACTACGCTTTGATGGAGTTGTTTCAGTGGCATCTTTTCAACCCATGTGCAAGGTTAATGGTTGACTGCATACCAATGTAGTAGCTAGACTTGGTTAAGTAAATCAAAACTCTGAAAAAATTTCATCGCTTTTACGCCATATTCATCATTTTAGATCTCGTTTATTTTAATGCATCTTTTTGATGCGGAAAAGCTCACTTTCTCCGCAACCTAAGTTTCTTACTTTTTCATACCATATCACTTTCCCATACACTACAGATTTCGCATCATGTCAGCCTATTCCTTTTATTCCCGCTGCATGAAGCACATTGCTCCGATATCCTCTTCTACTCATGATCATTCACTGAGTCAACGGGTGAGTTTTTCGGTTGATAATGTCAAGCAAACCAGTTGCTCCTCTATTCCGGTTTTATATCAAATTCCTCTCCTGGAGTGTTCGCGTTGTGGCCTAATTTCATGCGTACGTTCGATAAACTGTCTGCCTTAGTGAACAGAAAAATGGCCTGTGTTGGAGCACATCGACTTTTGTTGCCAACTTTGGGAAACCGAAATATTTGGGAAGCATCTGGCAGGTGTAAATTGTTGCGCAATGTGATGTCTTTCTGAAAGGTAGGTGGAAAACGGAGGATGGTCAGCTGTTTCTCTTGAAAGACCGTTGTGAAAAGGAATTTTGTCTTCAACCGGTCAGTACAATCGATTTTAATCTTTTAAACTCTCTGGAATCCCGTTTTGTTATGATTAGACTCATGAAGAGGAAATTACAACGTTGGTTCGAATTCTTGGTCTGTCCTACAAGCAGTTACCATTGCTGGTTTATCAAGTAGGCTGTCGAATCGGTAAAAAAAGTAATTTATTTTTCCAGATAAGTAACAAGTTTAGAGATGAGTTGAGACCTCGCTATGGTTTAATTCGGTGCCGCGAATTTATCATGAAAGGTTTGTGCTGACCAATAACCTCAATTATTCCATCTTTCAGACTTGTATAGTTTTGATGCAACCCACGCAGGTGCTTTGTTATCATACAACACGATATGTCAAACTTATTCGGAATTATTCAAAGAGTTGAATTTACCCTACCACAAAGGTAAATCCTCACACTATTCCCTGGTGTCAATTCCTGCTTGTGTAAAATTAATTTTTCTCATTCTAGGCTGTGCGTTAATTGTTTGCCTATCTAATGATTTAAAAGGAGAAAAACGTGTACAAATGGATGCTAGAATTGTGAACGCAAGACCAGTATTTCAATATTATAAAGATCCAGTAACGAGGAGGCATCCACTACTTGAATGGAATTAACTATCTATTACCTTTCAGTTTTCCTTTGAATCCATTCACGCAGTGTGCTGCATCCTTCGAATATAGGGATTTTCATTTGCTCGATGGTGGTTTCGATGGTTGTATGCATTACAAATCCCTTCAAGTATTTACCTTTTTCTCATTTTTGTACCTTACCATTTTCATTTCTCCCTCGGTTCCATACAGTCCTGGCGGATGCTGGTTCTATTGGCGGTCATACGTCTCATGAATTCCATATACCTGTTCCCATCGGAGAGGATCGTTTGCACGTGTGTACGAGGTAAGTTGTGACTGGTGCTTAATCTACGTCAGTCTTGTTGAGATCCTTCTTGATTGTTATTCGTCTGCACTACAATCCAATTAAATATCAACAAATGGAACCAGTCCTCCCTTTTAGCTAATTTCATATGTTTCTGGACTACCCTATATCAACTGGATATTGACATGCCCATTGATTTATGCTCCCCGAATCTACCCTCAACTCTTCATTAAGATGTGAGGTTAGTGACCGTCATTTTCTCGTAAAACTTGCTCATATTTTTTCCACAACACGGTCACCGGCTTTGTGTGACTTTTTCTGGATTCCGGATGGCTAGCATGAAATCCATCACAAGGTTTATTGTAGATAGCCCATTAATCCTGATAACTCCATAGCCTATTCACAGGCAACCTCCATGGGGCTGATCTCAGCATCCACGGTCCTGGATAGAGCTCTTGGCATGCAGCGTTGCTTGTTTCCTATGTAATGTTGCACTCAGGGCAGTGAGGTATGCCTTCACTGTTGTACTACTGCTACTACTACTACTACTACTACTACTACTACTACTACTACTACTACTACTACTACTACCACTTGGTAATCTAAGTGACACTGCAACAATATTTACGCCTATAAATCACATTATTAGATTGGTGTTACCATCATTCTAGTGTAAGTCTTAGATGTCCGCTTGACTTCCTTTGCCATAGGGACTTTGAATCTGTTCAGTCGATTTAACTGTGATTCAGAGGCCCGGTCGTACAATACGCAAAGATGCGCTATTATTCATATTTACCGCTTCCATTGAATAGACGATTTTCGGAAGGTGAGCGTGGTAAATCAATGAGCTACCTGCGGGAGAAAACTTTACTGTCGTCGTTATACACGAACACCTCCGGACTAATGTAATGGCGACCAGTAGCAAAGTACCACGACCGTTTTGTGATTGAGTACTGTCATCTTTTAAGTGTTTTTTAAATTAAATTGAAAACTCCAGTCACCAATACGGTAACCTGTTGTAGGCAGTAACGTAGTGAATGACGTTGATCGACCACTAAATGTGATGGACAGTCCATTGACGCAATTATATGTGGAGCATGTCTTTGAATGGGCACTCTCGTTACTTATTATTCATCATGAGCGCGGGTTGCTGAAATACAGTAAGGGGTTATCAATCCCTGAACTGTAAATTACATTTTCCTGGTATGCTGTACATCAGTTGCTGGAATAATCTCTGGACTCTTTTGCTCTCAAATAGTCATTCAGCATTTTTGGACTGCGGACAACCTCAGAGGTGTAACATCTTGTTTCTTTCTTAGTTCCATTCCTGTATTATGCACCGTTTCTCTTTCCTTCAAAGATGTGGATTCGGTTACAACGCTGAAGTGGAAAGTAAGTTTCTATTAATTGTTGGTGAATACGCTTCGACTGCAGATGGAATTCAGTTTTCGGATTGTTTAGAAAAAGGTGCGAATGAAACATCAACTACACATTGTCCCCATTCATTTCAAGAAGTACGCGGTCTCGAGGTATGTGACAGTTAATCGTCCCTAACTTAGAAGGCGGACCTATCACTTGTGAATACCTGGAAATTGGTCTGCTGTGCGAAAACTGTGCACGGGCATTTCTCCGATTTCGACTACCAACGACATCAAGCGTTTCGGGCGCATGTCATAAAATAGCGCGCATCAGTAATACGGTACTTTTATTTAGTCACAAAAACCCGTAGTCGAAGCTCCAAGGTTTTGTTGTTCGCTGAGCCACAAATGTTAACTCAAATATAATGTTGTCGGAAGATTTTCGGTGAATAGCTTCAGTTTGAGTTTTTACAATCATTGACCACCACACCTCACCTAGCGAGACCTTATGTGGTTCGCCACTCATAGCCCCAGGGCTTAGGTTACTGATTTCCATCACTGAACAGCAGGTCCTCGCGACTATGGGGTTCTCCCCGACTACGGTATTTTGTGACTAAATAAAAATACCGTATCACTGATGCGCGCTATTTCATGACATGCGCCCGAAACGCTTGATGTCATTGGTAGTCGAAATGGGTAATGCTCGTGTACGGTTTTCACACAGCAGGCCAATTTCCAGGTATTCACAAGTGATTGGTTCACGTTTTAGGCTGTCAGGATAAATGCTAGAAATCATTTTTCTTTCCGCGTTGATTAGTCAGTGCGCAACGGATCCATCTTTTCTTTCGTTCCAGATTGCTCACTGTTTCCTGCTTGGCGAACGTTACTCCCGTTGTTTCGACGCCACGCTTGTTACTCCTGGTGGAAAAGCGTAAGTTACATTTGTGGAATGTTTGCTTTTTAAATCTGCCTCCTTCGTTTAATCGCTTACCCTTGAAGCCGTTTGTTCTCCATCGTGATTCGGTTCTCCCATCTCAGATTACGACAAGCGAGGGTCTAACAATGACCAGGGGATTTTGATGACGGTGGTGATCAAAGATGGATTTTAGTTTGAGATCTTGACCAAAGATTGTCAAAGTAAAAGTGAGAAAGGAAAAAATGAAGTAATGATAAGCACTTGACAATAGGTTGTATGCTGTTACATATTGTCGGCATCAATTAACCTCATTATGGATCAGATTGAAGCTGATGCTAACAGCAAACGGGACACTTATCTTTGGTTTCGACGGAGAAATCTGTCGAGTCTTGCAAATCTACTAACATTATCGACTAAAACTAGAGGTATCACTAAAGCTAGCATCCGGAATTCACCTATTCAAAGTTGCACGAGGAAATGCATATATATATATATGTCAAGGTGTGAATTGTGGCAGATTCTCTGATGGAACACTTTAAAAGTACAACATTCTTCCACCAGTTCAACATGGGTTCAGGCGAAAACGATCCTTTTCAACAAACTTGCTTCTTGTTGGAGATGAATGAACTAGAACAGTCGTCGAAGAGGATGCATTGAATGTGATTTATCTGAACTTCCCGAGAGCATGTGATCAGGTAAATCACCAAATTCTGTTACAGAGGCTCCACAACTATCGCATTCACAGTTTCTTACTTGATTAGATTACAGCTTTTTTCCGACAACAGGTCATATCTGTTCGTGTTTCTCATTCCGTATTCCACAAGGGTCTGTTCTTCGTCCTCGTCTGTTGCTCGCACTCATATATTCTACCGAATCTGATGGAGCCAAAAGGCCTCAGTGCGCATCTTTATTTGTCCATCGCGAACCCGGGTGGATGACGAAGAAGGGCATTGACCAAGGTCAATAGATAATGAACTTGAACAGTCGGATAAAATCCTCTGGAAGAATGTTTTACAAGCGTTAAAGTGGTCTACTGTAATGTACTGTGCCGTTTGTTCATCCAGGATACAGGTACCTAAAAGAAACATGAGGGATCTGAAGATGAGTTTATAT